TCACTTCCGTATTTATTATAAGTACATCAATTTCTGTAATCAGTTTGATTTTAAACTATTATAGGTTGTAAGCAGTTGATGGGAATCAAATGAAATAAAATGAATTCATATTCTTCTGTATCAGTCTTCGTTCTTGCCTTCTTTAAGATAATATGAGGGGACTCTGGAAGATGTCGAAACATTCACATACCTGGGAAGCATCATTGATGAACAAGGTGGATCTGATGCAAATGTAAAGGCGAGGATTGAAAAAGCAAGGACCGCATTTCCATAACTGAAGAACATATGAAACTCAAAACAACTGTCAACTAACTTCAAAGTGAGAATTTTCAATACGAACGTCAAGACAGTCCTACTGTACGCAGTTTGAAACTTAGAGAACTACTACAACCATCGTCAAGAAGGTACAAGTATTTATAAACAGTTGTCTACGCCAAATACGCAACATTCACTGGCCGCATACCATCAGCAACAGCCTTTTATGGAAAAGGATAAACCAGGTTCCAGCTGAAGAGGAAATTAGGAAAAGGTGTTGGAAGTAGATAGGACATAGATTAAGGAAATCACCAATATGCATTACAAGACAAGCCCTAACTTGGAATGGTGAAAGGAAGCGGAAAAGAGGAAGGCAAAGAACATATTAGGCCGGGAAATAGAAGTAGATATGAAAAGGATGAATGTTAACTGGAAAGAACTGGAAAGGTTTGCCCAGGACAGGGCTGGGTGGAGAATACTGGTGTGCTGCCTATGCTCCTCCATGAGGGGTAACAGGCGTAAGTAAGTAAGTAACTGGTTGAATACATCAGATACAGAATAGGTTAACTTATCATTAACCGCTAATCACCATTCAAGATGAAGTATTGATATTCAGATAAATCAAACATTTTAAAAGTTTCATCTGTTTGAAGATAAATGAATGACAATCAATTGTAATACTTAGATTGTATAACATAGATGAGTGAATATGAACGTAACACAGATGGTGATAAATGATTACCTCATTATTTTGTAAATTTTCTGAATTCAGATCAATGATTTAGTATATTCTGATTCACTGAGTTCAAAGATGAAGTGTTCTCAGGTAGGCCTGATCATCCTAACTTCAGTACTGTGTACTATACGAGGAGTGGGCAGTTTACAAAACCTTAAGCTAGAACATAGCAACTGCCCAATACTTATTCATATTAGTTTGTAATGAAAACTGTCTTTAAATTGGAATCGATTTCAATAAATCCCTCAATTTTATTCAACAAGGTATTAAACTCTAAAATCTATTTAAAAACCTGGCCAGACTACAACATGGCACAAATCCATGAAGTCACTGACAATTGGACTGAGCCATGTTAGTAGGTGAGGACTTCCTGGTTGGGATTCGCGAGATGATAGCAATCGATGGTTAGAGACCTTGAATGATATGGCTCAAAATCGTTTGCAATGGCGAAGGTGCATCCACTCTTTGTGTTCTACCAAATTATAATCTTCTGAATTCTTCATGTCTCTAACTTTTTTCTCTTTTCAAATTAAATTCGCTTGATTATACTCATTGAATAAAATCTTCAAACCCTAATCTTTCCGATTACTACTTCTACCACTATATAATTTGAATCGACAACTGCATCTCTGTGCTAAAGTGGTATGGCAACTCGAACTGATGTACGTATTTACGAAGTTCTACGTTGTGAATGACTGACTGACTGATTTAAAAACCTTCAACAACATTTCACTCCACAGACTTATTGATTTTCGAAAGTATGATCTTTTTGTTTTTAATTAAAAGACTTATTTGAAGTAATTCAGCAAGTCTATATTCAGACAAGACACTTATGATACTTCTGAATAATTTAATCCATTATAATAAAACTATTTTAGTTCAAATTGAAATGGATAAGATTATCCTGTTGTTGAGGTAATCCAGTCTACTTCAAATTGAATTAAAAATTGGGCCGTTTGCACAAATAAAAGACTATTTGGACTTAGTAGTTAATTGAAGAACACGATGAAGTATTTAAATCAATCATTGTTAACTTACTTCAGCTTGTTGCTCCCAATGGAGCATAGGTCGCTGACCTGCATTCTCCAACCCACTCTGTCCTGCGACTTTCTTTCTAGTTATATCCAACTTTTGTTCATTCTTCTCATGTTTGTTTCCATTAATAGGCGTAATGTGTTCTTTGATCTTCCTCTTTTGCTTTGGCCTTCAGGATTCTATGTGAGGGGCTTTCCTTGTGACACAGTTGAGTGATTTCCTCAATGTGTGTCCTATCCACTTCCAACGCTTCTTCCTGATTTATTCCTCTACTGAAATCTAGTTTGTTCTCTCCCACTGTAGAATGTTGCTGATAGTGTATGGTCAACGGATCCGAAGTATTTTGCGTAGACAAGTGTTAATAAACACTTGTATCTTCTGGATGATGGCTTTCGTAGTTCTCCAGGTTTCCGCCCCATACTGTAGAACTGTCTTGACATTTGTATTGAAATTTCTGATGTTGGTATTGGTTGATAATTGTTTTGAGTTCCAGATGTCCTTCAGTTGTAAATATGCTGCTCTTGCTTTGCCGATCCTCGTCTTCACATTTGCATCAGATCCACCGTGCTCACCAATGATGCTGCCTAGGTATGTGAAGTTTTTCACATCCTCCAAAGCTTCTCCATGAGGCGTAATTTGATTGGTGCATGCTGTATTGTATCGGAGAATCTTGCTTTGATTATTCCACAGTGATTCGGTCTGTACACGATCGATCCTTACGGAATCCAGCCTGTTGTTCTCGAAGTTGGGCGTCTACGGAGTCCTTCGTTCTGTTTAACAATACCCTGTTGAAGTCTTTTCCTGGTATTAAAGGAAGAGTGATGCCCCTGTAGTTATCACACTTTCTGAGATCGCCCCTTTGGGTATTTTGATCAGAAGTCCTTCTTTCCAGTCTGTTGGTACTTGTTCTTCATCCCGAATCGTACTGAAGAGAATGTGGAGTATTTTTGCAGTTGCTGCTACATTTGCTTTCAGTGCTTCTGCTGGAATGTTGTCTGGTTCTGTTGCTTTGCCGCTATTGATTTGTTTGATGACCATGCTGATCTCTTCAGTTGTTGGTGGGCCAATATCAACTGGAATTTCCGTGGGTGCTACCTCGATGTTGTGTAGGTTCATTGGAGCTGGTCGATACAAGAGTTTATTGAAGTGTTCTACCCACCTGTTTCGTTGTTCTTCAATGTCGGTGATTACTTTGCCTTCCTTGCTTTTCACTGGTATTTCTGCCTTACGGTGATTTCCAGCAAGTTTCTTGGTTGTATCATACAGTTGTCTCATGTTTCTCTCACTTGCAGCCTTTTCCGCTGTCATTGCTAAATCTTCCACATATTTACGTTTGTCGGTTCTGATGCTCCTCTTCACTTGCTTGTTTGCCTCTGTGTATTCAGTTTGTGCCTTGGCTTTTTCTGCTTTTGATCGGCTGATATTGATTGCTGCCTTCTTGTTCCTCCTTTATTGAATCTTATCCAGTGTACCAACAGTGATGGTGCTTTTTATGGCCTAGAACCTCCCGACATATTGAAGTAATTGTCTATTTTATCACTTTTCCAGTTGCTTTTCATAGTAGTTCCCTCTCCATTGAGTAGACCATGAAAGGCCTGGAACTTATTGTTGAGGGCTATCTTGAATTTGTGTAGTTTGTCAGTACCCCGAAGAAAAGCTGAATAAACGTTTGTGATGTTGTCCTCGCCGTTGTCCAGTGCGTCTTAAGTTTTAGTTTCATCTTGGTGATCAGCAAGTGATGAACTGATGCTATATCAGCTCCTCTGCTGGTGTTCACATCCTTCATTGTCCTCCTGAACGTTTTTGATGACGTCGCTAACCCCATGCCCAACCCTGCTCCTTTATCCAGGCTTGGGACAGGCGATAGTCCCACGAGAGGCTACAGGGTTTGAATCTTTTAGTGAATATCAACTCTGTGTGAAACTGCTTTAGCTTTAAAATACAGTATTGCCAACTTTCGAAATGTTCGTAAGTATGTAGAGTATCAATCTCAGTTAATGTTACAGAATAGTTGTTTCATTCCAGTTTGAAATGTTATTGTATTACACTTAAAAACAATGTTCCATTTTAAATAAAGCTTAAAATCTTACTATTGTGCTTTAAACATGCTATGATGGAGTTTTTAGGTGAAAACTCATAAAATAATCACTTTTTACAATATACCACTAACCATTCACTTTCTATTGTTTGATTGTATCCTCGAGTGAAAATCAACTCTGCAGGTACATCCAACTGACGAGTCCAAAATAGGACGAAACACGCATCCTGGATTCCACTGCTAGCCACTATCCATCTTTGCTAACATTATTAACCATGTTAAATACTATCATCTATGAGTAACTTTTGCACTCTCTACAGTAGGTAAACGTTATATATGTAATTAAGGGTAAATAAAACATACTTTAATAATTAATAGTGTCATTATACTATGATATTTTATATTTCCGACCGAACATAGTGAGTATTATATACATATCCTCTTTTGAATTGTTCTCACACCATGAGAACCAATATCTTCTATCAAGATTGTGTATTTTTCCAAGGTTTTTGGCATGATATGAGATATCATTACCTTCAAGATTAACAAATTATTGATTAACTCCTACATACCATTAAGTATAGCTGATAGTGATTTCACTCCTTAACTACTTAAGTGTTGATGTAGTTTGGCTTAATGACTGCATAACTCCTAGATATTACTCCAGTTAAATACTGAAAGGAAAAACTCATGTTCTTAAAAATATATATATATATATATATATATATATATATATATATATATATATGAACTAGAATAACACAATAAACAAAGATGAATAGGAGCTAGCAGTGAAATCCAAGACGCGTGTTTCGTCCTATTTTGAACTCGTCGCCTAGATCTCAGAGTGTATATTCACTCTGAGACTCGAACCCAATACCCTTCTCTTCAAATGCCATCACGTTATTCACTTAGTTATTGAATTCAAAAGATCATTTGGTATTGTTTTTACAAATTAATGTATTTAAACAAAAAGAAATTCAAGGTTATCATTAAACCGTTCAATTATTATTGTCATTATTATTCTGCGCTAAATTCAAACATAAGATCTATGTTCCAATATTGATTTTATTGTATCTTTTTGAATTGGTTCACAATCATTTCCATGGTGACAAAGATTATTCAATGAATTTGGTTTAGAATGATTATAATATTGAATTGATAATTTATTATTTGAACAAAATAATGAATTAGGTATTGAATCATGCAAATTACAAATAGGTTTCATAGAAAGTACATTTTGTTTGTTACTATGCAAGTTTATTGGATATTGTTTTAATGAATTCAAATCATCTTGACGTGAATGGTGTTGTTGCTGTTGTTGTTGTTGGTGGTGGTGGTGGTGGTGTTGGTGATGATGATGATGTTGATTATCACATTGATGTAATGATTTTGTATTATCATATGTTGTATCTAAATCGGTTTCATTATGAATATCTATGTTATTTTCATTAATTAACTTATGAGCATGACAATTTGGTACATACCTTTCAGAAGTTGTATCTTCCGATATATCAATTGTATTGTTGTTATGATTTTCTAATGGATTTATTAGATAATGGTTTGGATCATGATAAGATTTGGAATTATTCCCAGTGTAGTGATCAGGACGATGATGCTGTTTCTGCTGCTCCTTCTGATGTTGTTGATGATGATGATGTGGTATAGAATCATTAGGTAAGTGTGATCTAGATGATGTAATAATTCTGGATCTTGTATATTTTGGATATAATGACAAGAGAGTAGTTTTAATAATTTTAGGTATTTTACATTTTAATAATCCATAAAAATTTTGTCTAAATTCTTTACAGAATCCAATACATATTGGTAATAATAAAACAGAAATGAAATTACTGAATTCAATTCCAATTACTTTAGCAGATAACATTGAAAAAAATCGTTGCCATGCATTGTCTTTTAAAACCTGTAAAAATTAAAAAAAATAATTTTTTTTTGGGGGGGGAGGGGGAGGGGGGAAACATATCGTAAAAATGTTTTTTTAAAACTTTATAATTGATCGATTATGACTAAGTATAGTGAAGTCATTATACATGAAAATTATATTTGAAAGAATCTTAATGATTGAATTCACTTGGTGTTGTTTGCTTATATCTTCTAATTGTTATTGAGGACTGCAACTGATCAGTCTCTTGTTGACATATGTGCATCCTGTGAGGACTGTCTCGATATTGTCTGATGTCACAAGTTTTATAAGCAATGATAGATAGTGGCTAGCAGTGAAATCTAGGACACGAGTTTCGTTCTATTTGGTACGAGTCAGCTGAATGTACCTGCATCTCAGAGTTGATGTTCACTCTGAGACTCGAACCCAATACCTTTTGCTTCAAACGCCATAACGTTATCCACTTAGCTACTGAGTCCTGATAGCCAACTGCTTGTGCAATGGTTGAAACTTCAATAATTCTAACGTTTTATCCAGAAAATATTTCTGAACTTCTTCAGGGTAATGATCGTATTCAAAATCATCATAGAAACATAGAGCGCCTAATGATCAAATCAAATCAAATTAGACTCAGAATCTAAGACAAGACTGATAACGTTTTGTCCGATCAGTGTACACCACCTAATGATCTCACATGGCCACGTGCATACAACCAGTGACAGTAAAGTTTCTATCAAGGACAAATGGCATGAATAAACCTGGTTCCCAGTGAGAGTTGATTTTCTTTTGGAGACTAAAACTCAGTGTCTAATTATATCCTTATTATATGTTGAAGTGCATTATTATCAAAGCATAACAAACTGGGTCCTTATATCTCAAATAACCAAAAGGGGTTGATATTTACAGAATCTGAAGCAAGAAGCGTTTGATTAAAATATCCATTAGAGAATCACAGCTTAACTTATGGCTCTTTAATAAAACAGTACATGTAACTGGAGTTTTAAGTCTACTTATCACTAATAAATTATTGAAATGTAACTGATACTGATGCTAGAGTGTTATTATATATAGTTCTAACAGCAAAATCGATTAATAATTCAACACTATCAGTTGACAATAAGGTTCGATAATGTTATAGGTTGTCTTTCAACGATGTTTAAATATAACCATTCTTGCCAGAAACAGATAAATTTGATTCAAACAAAAGTCATTATATTTTATTACACTGTAATTCAGTAATTGAATTAAGTATGTATTTGCTCACACGTGTATGATTATTTACATTGTCGCATGTACTACTGATATCGGCAGACATAAGTAGTATGTATCATCAATCGAAAGTTAAATGCCTGGAGCAAAAAGGTTAACAAGATCAAAGAATAATATACGAAAACAAAGAATGGTTACTGTGGAAATAAAAGAACAACGAGGTCTTAGATGATTGATTGACATTTTGCAAACGAAGTATTTATTGTATGGTTATCAGATTTTACTAAGATGTTCTGTGGTTTCATATACAATTACATTCGAATGTCCCCACGTATGTTTTTGTTCACTACAACATGTCTATTATCTATTTCTATCTATTCTCCTGTTGGTTATAAACTTAGTCAATCAGTAATTTACTATCCATATACACATTTTGATTGATATTTTATGAGCACTTTACATATTCCATTTCTATGTTTGGTCTAATTATCAATGTTGAGCCATTTCACTTGCTATAATAAACGATTCCAACCCAACTGGTATTTGGGTTCTGGATTTGTTGAGTGAAAATAAATGTAACTACGCTTTAAGAACCAACTTAGATGTATATACATCGAGTTATTCAGATTGGTTATATTCCGTGTCAATGAAATAGTCATTACATAATACATTTTTCCTAGTTTTCTATTCACTTTTATAAAACTTTATATAGTTGAGATCATGAATCAATTAAAGCTAGACCATCATGGAAAACCTGGAAGCACTCGACGGCCGTTTCGTCCTATTATGGGACTCCTCAACAGTGTGCATCCACGATCCCGCACTCGCGAGATTCGAACCCAGGACCCACCAGTTTCTAGCCGAAGCCCTTAACCGATAGACCACTGAGCTGGCATCCAACGGTGTTAATGTCTAACTTCAACCAATACACGAAATTGAGAAACCATTCATCAATGTCTTCAGTGAGTTGATATCACAGCGGAACTGGCTGAACTCCACTGATTACTGTTTCTTACTAGAACTCCAGGAAATACCTCATGGAGCCAGTCACTAGTGAGCATATGAACATTATCCGAAGGGGGTTTTGTGGTGATTTTAGTTATTTATTTATTTATTTAAACGCATAAATATTGGTACAAGGAAGCACCAGATAAATATGCACTGCACAAATCTCATTCGATTTGTGTGAGGGCTGTGATACTGCTCAGGTGCCCAAACTGAAGCAGGGGTGATTTAAGTAGTAGTAGTAGTAGTAGTTCAGATCATGAGATAATTGAAGCTAGACCACTATGGAAAGCAAGGAAGCACTGGAAAAAATAATAAAAAAAACACAACTTTCTTTTCTAATTTACCTCAGAATCTGTTAAATTCATTTCTCCTGGTTTTGTTAATGGATCAAGCATTGTAAATAATGCATTAGGTAAACGACATAATCCTTGTATTATACATATAATAGCTATATGTAATACTTCAAATTGATTTCTTCTTGATATAGTTACACGACTTTCAGCATATCTTGGACGTATAATTAAATCATCTATAAAATAAGCTCGTATAATTGCTAAACCAATACATATATTTAATAATGCTATAGAACAATCAATAGTAATACCAGTTATCCATTGATAATCAAAATAACTTGCTGCTAGTTCTGAAGTCTTTTTAGTAATATCCATTTCTGTAAATATATCATAACGATGAATTGATTTCATTGAAAACCAATATTGATATCCACCAGCAACTTCACATCTTGCTAATGGTTCTAATGATTTTAATGATTCTATTGATAATGATGATGACGACGATGACGATGATAATGATGGTGATGATGACGACGATGACGATGACAATGATGATGATGACGATGGTGATGACGATAAAGTAAATGGATTAACTGATTGTATCCTTTCATATTCAATATTATAATATTGTATACGCCAATATACTATTTCAATAAAACCATAAATTCCAGCTAATAAAAGAATCCCTATTGAAATTCTTATTGATTTTTTATGATTTCCATCAGCTATAATCCATCTTATAATACTATTGGATGGAAAGTTGGTTTCTCTTTGTAATAATACAAGAGTTTCAATACCTAATGTTATTGTAATTAATATAATAGCTAAACGATTACCAGTCCATAAACAATGAATAAATGGACATATTAAATTATTAATTGCTAATAATCCAGTATCCCATGGTATATCTAAATCAATAATAATCACTAAGATACATTGTATTAAATGGAGTATTGATAAAATCAATAAATAAATTGATAATGAACCATAACCATATGGTATCATTAATAAATTAGAATTATATTTTAATGATTTTCTCCATTGTGTATTAGAATAAATAATAATACATAAAATACAATTAATAATACCAAATGGTAACCATAATGGACTAATATATCGATCTAAATTATTGATTATTGGTGATAATTGTTCAATTAATAAATAAAATCTTGAATAACGTGATAAAATATCTAAATGTTTTATATTAATTGATTGTTTAATACCTGAATTGAATGTTGTTATTGATAGTGGTGGTGGTGGTGTTGTTAAGGATTTTGTTTGAATAATCTGTAAAACAAAAAAATATATATAAATATATAATGATAATATATAAAAATTATCAGAAGGGGGTTTTTCAGTATTTTTATAGTTGAAACCATGAGTTAATTGAAGCTAGACCGTCTTGTAAAATCTGGAAATACTGGAAGGTTGCTTCGTCCTATTGTGGGACTCCTCAGCTGTGCGCATTCACGATCCCAACTTTTTTTCATTTTTCTCATGCCTGTATCCATTTCTCAAACTAATTTGTTCTTTTGCATTCTTCTCCTCCTTTGGCCATCAGGATTCCATGTGAGGGCTTGTCTTGTGACACAGTTGAGTGATTTCCTCAATGTATGTTCTATCTACTTCCAGCGCTTCTTCCTGATTTCTTCCTCTGCTGTAATCGGGTTTGGTGTCTCCCACAGTAACTTGTTGCTGATAGTGTCTGGCCAACGGATCCGAAGTATTTTGCGTAGACAGCTGTTAATAAACACTTGTATCTTCTGGATAATGGCTTTCGTAGTTCTCCAGATTTCCGCCCCATATACTAGAACTGTCTTGACATTTGTATTGAAAATTCTGATCTTTGTGTTGGTTGCCAATTGTTTTGAGTTCTAGATGTTCTTCAGTTGTAAATATGCTGCCCTTGCTTTTCCGATCCGCGTCTTCACATTTGCATCAGATCAACCGTGCTCATCAATGATGCTGCCCAGATATGTAAAGTTTTTCACATCTTCCGAAGCTTCTCCGTCAAGTGTAATTCGATTGATGCATGTTATGTTTTATCAGAGAATCTTGCTTTTCCCTTTGTGTATGTTGAGATCTATTGCTGCTGTGGCTGCTGCTACACTGGTTGTCTTCTCCTGCATTTGTTGTTGCGTGTGTGATAGAAGAGTCAAATCATCCGCGAAGTCTAAATCATCCAGCTGCATCCTAGCTGTCCATTGTATCCCGTGCTTCCCTCCAGATGTTGATGTCTTCATGATCCAGTCGATCACCAGGAGAAAGAGGAAGGTTGAGAGTAAGCGACCCTGCCTAATACCGGTCTTTATCTCAAATGGGTCGGTCAGTTGTCCTCCATGAAGGATTTGGCGGTGGTAGTAAAAATACACTACAATTTTCTTTTGAGAACTAATGATTTGAAAGAATCGTGTAGGAAAATCATCTTTAATTACCTAAAGGCAAATTCGGGAAAATGCTACACAAGATAACCGAAGCGTTGACCGTGAATTTCTACTGATCAATCGTTCATCAACCTATATACTGAGTGATTTATGTATCCATCAACTAATTGACTACCACACTCAACTAAGATCTATTATCCTTGTTTTACTGCAACTCACAGATTGAACGAATTTAGATGCTCACGGCTTTCGGTAACCTTAATTACAATTAGAGAGCCGCCCATTGTCTATGCTCTATTGTTTTGAGTTCCAGATATTCTCCAGTTGTTATAAGGATGTTTATGTTGCAAAATACCTGAACATTATCACTTCAACACTATAAATCAAAAACAATCATAGTCTAGCTTAGATCCACTTATGATGTCAACTATGAATCTTCAACAAATTCCCTATGATGATTACGATAATTAACAATAAAAACAAACCCCCCCCCAAAAAAAAAGAAGAAAAAGTAACGAAATATCGTGTTTATGTTGATTAGTTAATGTGAAAATAAAGTGAATAGAAGATTTACACTTGAATTCATGATTATACCAAAATATTTTTTTGTTTTTTTTGTTTGTTTTTCTCCATTTATGCTACAATTGTAAATAGTTCATGAAAAAAATTTTTTGGAAAAAAGAAAAAGGAAAAAAGAAAAAGAAAAAAGAAAAATATTCGGTTCTATATTTAAAAAAAAAATTTTTTTTCTCATTTCTTAATATACTACTGATTATTATTGTTATTGATAATCTTCTAAATGATTTCATATTGTTTATTTATTTATTTAGTTGGTTGTTATTCATATAGAAAATAAGTTAAATGATTTGAATGAAGAAATCATTTAGAAATTTTCTTTTTTAATGAATAAATAAACTATACAGTAGAGTTAGTTGATAAGTACTAAATTTCTTTAAATGATTGAAGGTGTAAAAGAAAAATGAAGTGTTTTTCTAAGTGATGATGGATAGTTGCTAGCAGTGGAATCCAAGACGCGTGTTTCATCCTATTTGGGACGAATCAGCTGAATGTACCTGCATCTCAGAATTAGTATTCACCCTGAGACTCGAACCCAGAACTGTTCGCTTCAAACACTATCGCGTTATCTACTTAGCTACTGAATTCTGACTTAAGGCAATATCGTGGTAGTCCGCATAAGATACACATATGTCAATAAGAGACTGATCAATTACAGTTCTAAATAACAATGGTAAGATACAAGTAAACAACACCAACTGAACTGTTTTTTATTTGTTTTTTGATATCTGTATATCAACTTGTATAATTGATATACTTCTTAACGGAACTATGATCTATAGATGAACAAATTAGATTTTAAATTAGAATTCAAGGATTTTAGGATCAAAATTATTTCTTGAAATGTCTGCCTATTTCAACATATGGGCTACCTGCTCCTATTATCTAAATATTTCAACAAGTTGTCTGTTTTTTTGTTTATTTTAACACATCTTTGTCTATTAATCTCATAACCTATTCAGATGGATTGGTGAAAAGTTTACAATCTTTCACTGTACAAGTTACAAAAGAGCCAATCAGACATATCGTGGTTGCTAGCAATATGCATGTACATTATTTAGATGTTAATTCCAGAACTGTCAACATTTAATTGGCGACCACTCACTATTTATCACACGGATCGACCAAGGAGTAAGAAATGGAAACTTGTTTAAATACTTTTTGCTGAGAATTCTATATTATGCCAAGTATATAATGTTGAATAAAGCCGCTAATAATAATATTGATAATAAAGAGCATTCTAGAACTATAGCTCATTTCAGTTTGTGATGAAAACCTAAATGCCACTTACTGACCTTAACTTCCAAAACCGAATTCGTTACATTAATCTATAATCCTATTTTGAACCCAGTAAATGGTTAGAGTTTTTCAAGGTTATTTTTATATCCCTCAAAGGTCGACTGTAAATCATAGTCTCAACTATTTTCCTTAATCGAAATTCATTATATTTAAGATATAGAGTTGAGATCATGAGTCAATTGAAGCTAGACCATCATGGAAAACCTGGAAGCACTGGACGGCCGTTTCGTCGTATTATGGGACTCCTCAGCAGTGCGCATCCACGAACCCACTCTCGCGAGATTCGAACCCAGGACCCACCAGTTTCGAGCCGAAGCCCTTAACCGATAGACCACTGAGCTGGCATCCAACGGTGTTAATGTCTAACTTCAACTGATTCACGAAATTGAGCAACCATTCACCAATGTCATCAGTGAGTTCCTATCTCACAACGGAACTGGTTGAACTCCACCGGTTACTGCTTCTCACTAGAACTCCAGGAAATACCTCAAGGAGTCAGTCACTAGTGAGCACCTGATTATTATCAGAACGCGTTTTGTGGGGATTTTAGTAATTTATAGAGTTGAGATCATGAGTCAATTGAAGCTAGACCATCATGGAAAACCTGGAAGCACTGGACGGCCGTTTCGTCGTATTATGGGACTCCTCAGCAGTGCGCTTCAGTTGACTCATGATCTCAACTCTATAAATTACTAAAATCTCCACAAAACCCCTTCTGATATTTAAGATAGTTCTTCTTATTAGTATTCAGGTATACGTATATCTTGTGATGATTGTTTTGATATAGACAAATTACCATCAGTTAATATAGAATATATGGAACGTGGCTTGTGGTGAAATTCAGAACGTATATTTCTAACTATTCGTGACCTACTGACTAAATGTACCTAGAGCTCAGTTGGTTCGAATCCTGTTACGAAACTTAGCACTAGATTACAGATGTATACACTTAATGTGTTTTCAATAGGATTAAACTTAAATTCTGGATTTCACTGCTAACCATGTTCAATCTATTTCATATAAAATAAGGACTTATTTAACATGTTCATTTCCAAATTGATTCACATAACCTGCATAACTATTAAAAGCGAGGGACCCCTTGAAACACTTGACTTGTCATCTTTTGTGACTCGTCATTCATATTACGATTACAACGTCACACAAGATCAAACCAACGATGATCTTCAATTCTTTCATCAAGTATAATAACTTTAAACTACTGATTTAGGAAAACATAGTACAACATTCTTATTTCAATGAATACATACTTCTCTATTCACTTTATTCAATAAACTACTGTCTCATTTTCTTCATGTTTAAAGCTTACTAACTATGAAATCTCACTTAAATTTGTTGAATTTCATCAGAATCTAATTCAATATTGATCATAATTGTTCAGTACTATTTAGTCTTCTGTAGTAGACGTTAGATTCCCAGAACTCACTTGGAAAATATTCTAATTTTGTAATTTTATTCTGAAAATTTGAATTTTATGTTTTCGTAACAAGAGATGCTTAGTTGACCTACAGATTACATTTCTTACTCAGAAATCCTTGACTGTCATTGGTTGACGGATTTTTTTACTACGCTATTTTGTAGCTCTCTGAAGAGCGTTTCTATCATTGTAAAAATAAACTTGATTTGTGTGCAGACGTTAAGGCAAGGACTGCATTTTTATAATTGAAGAACATATGGAACTCAAAACAACTGTCAACTAATTTCAAAGTGAAAATCTTCAATACGAACGTCAAGACAGTCTTACTGTACAGAGCTGAAACGTGGAGAATTACTACGATCATCGTCAAGAAGGCACAAGTATTTATAAATAGTTGTCTATGCAAAATATTCAACATTCACTGGCCGAATACCATCAGCAACAACCTTCTGTGGGAGAGGATAAACCAGCTTATAGCTGAAGAGGAAATTAGGAAAAGGTGTTGGAAGTAGATAGGACATAGATTAAGGAAATCACCAAACTGCACCACGAGGTAAGCTCCAGCTTGGAGTCCGGAAGGGAACATTAGGCCGGGAAATAGAATTAGATATGAAAAGGATGAATGTTAACTGGAAAGAACTGGAAAGAATTATCGAGGACAGGGTTGGATGGAGACTGCTTGTGGGCAGCCTATGCTCCTCCGTGAGGGGTAAAAGGCGTAAAATGTAAGTATTTAGTGGCTCTTCCAAGGGCGTCTCTACCATTGTATAAATGAGCTTGGTTTGTGTTCATAGTGACCTCGTATTTTCTGGATGCTTGTATAGAATACATTCTGTACAACTTATCAAGACTTCTTGATCTAGTTAGCAGGGCCGGTGACAACAGATTAGAATAACCTATCGTGTCACTGTGTTATTGACCTTGGTTCTGTTTACTGAGTAAAATGAAATCGTAATAGCATCAAGCACATCAATTGCAGAACAGTTCGCTCTATCTTCATATACTCAATACATTGATGTTTAATAGATGTACAGAAGACAATGCTTAACCAAAAAACAGAAGTAAATAGTCTATAATGTTTGTAACCATAGTATTATTTATATAATTTATATAATATACCCTTATGGGCAAGGGTAATCTTACACTGGTTTTCAGGTGAACCAGACACCATCCAGACTTCCATGCGGCAACCCAAACAGTACAGCTCAATCCCGTTTAACAGGAGAGTCAGACACTGCCCAGGCTTAGCCCAAGCAGTACAACTCAATCCCACCCTATAGGACAACCAGACACTTTAAAAGCGTCAACGTTACAATCCGAACAGCTCAGCCCAATCCTGTGGCGCAACCACTAAGGTACCAAACACCCTGGTGGACCAAACCATAGTATGAACATTACAAATAAACATGTTGTATATAATTAAAACTTACATTGGCAGCATTACGTAACCGTATTCCACGCATTTCACTTATGTAATGACATTGAATTCATCGAAATAATATATACCGATTCATAATGACATTTATCCAATAAGATTGAAATAGATAGTGATATATATAGACTATCTTCACCTATTCACCTAGTCATCTCTCTATCTATCTATCTATCTATCTAACTATGCATCATGTATCAGATATAGATATATAACTAAGTTACAATAAAAAATTTCTGAATAATTTATCAACTATATCATTGTGTCCTAAAGTTTTCTATGAATTAATTGTGTAAACAATAAACAAAAAATAAACAAAAAAAGAAAAAAAGAGAGAAAAAGAAAAAAAAGTGAAAAAAAGAGAAAAAATTAGCATGATTTGTAAATGTATGGTGTTACATGTATATTACAGGGTTATTAAATAAGATGGATTCAATCACCAAATGTGTTAGCATAAAAGTTATGACATATATATGTATATTACATAATTTGTTAATATATTCCAGAAAAAAAAACGAAAAAAAAACACAACAATAATATTGATTCATTAAATCAATATGTAACAAACATGTAACTATGTAATTTATTATTTTGAAGATAAATATGTACACAAAAAAACACTATGATTTTTGTCACTAGGAGATTATTAATTGCCCAAACTGAACTTGGTGGTTTCCTTATGGGGCCACAACCCGAGCCTTTGACGTAAAGATCGGATTCACAACTCAGTGATGTAGCATCAAGAGATTTAGTCTTATGATAACTAGTGACTAACAATTGATTCATACACTATTTATTCTTTTATGATACTGGAGCTCATGTATACCATTAATTAGGAATAAGGATTTTCCAACCTCTCTAGGTGAACCCTTCGTATCCACCCACCCAGTTAAATAACTGAACATTTATCCTTTCAATTTCGTAAACAACAGTAGTGCCACTATAAGGTACTGAGTAGGACTTCCTTGAGAGTGGCTGTATACGTGTGGCCATGTGAGAACATTTTAAGAACGAGAGCTGACTCTTCCTACCCACAGCCGTACCAAGGCATTTGGAGAAATTAGTATGATTTGAAGAGAGGTCTTACCATAAACTGTTTAATTAATTAAAAGAATTGGTCGATGTCAAATGAAGTTTGAGATTTGATAGTTATACATATTGATTACTTTGTCTGAAACTGAACTTATGATATTCAACGTTCAAGGACAAATACAATACCTATGAGATTCGTAGTGGGAAAACTGATGATTCATATTTTCATTATGCTCTTAGACTCATTTTCACCCCATTTCACTAGCAAATGGCTATTAGGATTCAGTAGTTAAGTGGACAACACAATGGCGTTTGAAGCGAATGGTACTGAATTCGAGTCCCAGAATGAACATCAACTCTGAGATGCAGGTACATCCATCTGACTCGTTCCAAATAAGACGAAAAGCTGCTAGCTGCTATTCATCTTTGCTTAGAAATTAAGAATTAGATTTCAACAAATTCCACCGTTAGAGTTAACCGAATATCGTATTAATTTCAGTGATTAAACACTGTGAAATATTGTATTTTATACGTTGTTCTTAGTTGTAAATGATCTATACAAAACTTTTAAAAAAGGACTTGTGCTAAATAATATTTGCTAACCTTTAGACCATCAAAATATCCACTAATGGTTTATATGTTCAACTTTAATCGAATGATGATATAACGCAGTCATCTTTCGTTTTCATCGGTGAGCGAACGTCTTACACTGAAAGTAGCTGAACTCCTCTAGTCATGACTTTATACTATAATTTTAGTAATTACCGCTCTAGGTTTGATTCTTATTGAGAATATAGATGTTCACTACCATTAAGGTGTCCTATAATAAGAAAAATCTGCTGTTCCGAGCCACCTGGTTTCCGATGGTCATTTCATTAGGATAGGTCCGTGTTGTAAACTACAAAATCCAACAATCTCCACATCCATCCATATGGTAAACATTATTTCTGTTACAATAAACAATTATCAGCATCCGTTGTACAATATTACAATAAATATTTCCTTAATATGTATCCTAACACATTCAAAAATGCTTCTAATAGTTAGAATCTATCAACAACATTTGATTAGCTTCTTTATCATCAATATACATAAGGCTTTAATTCCTATATACATATTTCTGGTTTTGTCGATGAATAGAATTATGCCACGAACTCACGTATTTCCACTTGTAATCATTATATATTGGTGCACTAGTACATGGAGTAAGTGTTCATAATTACTGTTAAAGAGTCTACAAATACCCATGGTTAAACTCTGTATAGACTCGGTAAATCCCAGGAATTGTTTTATCTAACCAGTATAGAATAGAAGCTTTTCAGAAACATCTAGAAAATGATGAATCACATGCTACATTTTTTGATGGGATATTTACTAATACGGTTATTAAATTTAGTATTTTCCGTGAAACCTTTAGAAGTTCAAAATTACGCATAACTTAATATATTCCTTTGAACTTCTATATATAATCAGACGCTGGAATAAAGCTTTTACGCACATATCTCATCTATTCTCTATTGTATTGTAGTGAATAAGAAGATGGGCGGGGACAATGGAATGTATTTAAGCACAAATAACAAACTACATTACTGAAATCTGATAACCATACAGTATACAGTTAATTTGCAAAATAACAATCAATGGTCTCCATCTTAACTATTCCTTCTGCAAATATCAGTCCATCTTCCCTGATTTCATTGTCCATACATTTTCATACCGATTGAGCTTCATTCCTGTGCTTTCCTTATTGATCTTCTGCCAAAATACATTCTATGTCTGACCATCACCATATACTACTTATGTGGATATAAGTAGACCACACCACAGTACTAGTTGACGCGTAGAAGTAGTCGTGGTTATAAGAACCACATAGAAAGGGATTCTTTAGCGTTTCTGTAACAAACTCATCATTCAATTTAAACAAAATTGTAACTGATGAATTGAGTATAATATTTTCAGAATTAGAAAACTAAATAAATAAAACATTTGAATAGGTAGCAGCTCAGTTCATTTAAACCAGTACTTATATCATTTTAAAGTTATACGTGGCTGAAAATAGAATAAGTGAAATGAATGAACTCATCCTATTCCGATAAAGTTTTGTTCTCTGAGCTGGATAGTTTGGTCGTGGAGCTTTCATCGTTCTTCTGAATGACATTTTTAGCAAAAACTTCACCATCTAATCCTATTCTATTACGCTTGTTTTACTTGAATTATGAAAACTTATGAAGATGGAAATTATAATACTAAAAATACACATAAAGTAGAGTTACATATTACATCTGCAGTGAACGAGAACATAAATGGGGACAACAGAATGTATCGGAATACAAAACTACAGAACATCTTGTTAAAATCTGGGAGCCAGACATTAAATAATTCATTTGCAAAATGTCAATCAATTGTCTCGAACGTGAATGTTCGTTCGTTCTCACATCAATCACTTTCTGTTCTCGTTCTCTTTTCTTAGATGTTCTTAACCTTCTGCTGCCAGGTATTTCACTTTTGATTGATGATACAAACTACTTATATTTGTAGACATCAGCAGCATAAACCATACATCTTCTCTTTGTTTACTTCATTTCACATTTATTCTAGAAAACACTTGATATGCTTGGTTCGATTTTTTGGGGACAAAACGTCATTCAAGTTAGTTTAATTGTTCTATGTTAAGATACAGTCTGTTTATATTTTCAGTAGCTGATACTCCTAGATTTTATACAAGTTTCCAATTGTCTTCTACATAATTATCAGAAAGGGATTTTGTGGATATTATAGTAATTTAATGGTTGAATTCATGAGTCAATTGTAGCTAGACTACTATGGAAAACCTAGAGGCACTGGACAGCCGTTTCGTCCTATTGTGGGACCCTTCGGCAGTGCGCATCCACGATTCCCCCTCGCGAGATTCGAGCCTAGGACCCATCAGTCTCGCGCTCGAACGTTTAACCTCTAGAACCACTGAGTCGTCATCGAACCGTGTTAATGTTTAACTTCAACCAATCCACAAAATTGAGTTACACATCCACCATTGTCTTCAGTGAGTTACTATCTTAACTATTGAAATTACTATAATATCCATAAAACCCTTTCTGATAACAATCAACATATGCTTACTAGTGACTGGCTTCAAGAGGTATTTCCTGGAGTTCTAATGAGAAGCAGTGACCAGTAAAATTGATTTTCCCTTGATTTACCTATGTTTATTTTAACAAAATATAAAAATTAATATTGTATTACTAGATTGATGGAAATTATTTTCTTTCTAGAATGATATCACTACTTTAGGAAGTCATGACATTTAAGAAGTATCGATTAAATATTTTGTTCTAGTTTAGGACGATTTATCTACAGCATACCTAAAACTACATAAGAAATCGAACCAAGGACCTTTAAGTTCCTATTAGTTACCATTTTTAATTCGAATGAATGGTTTTGATAGGTCTTTCCTTCTCTGTCAATATGTAATTAAATCTTGTCTGTTACATTTTCTTAATAAGATTTTGTTTAACCATTGCCACTCCGATCACTGGCTACTAAATATTTGTTTGTTACAACTAATTAACTAATACATTTTCTTGGTTATAGTTTGCTTGAATCTTCCAATTGATGTTTAGGATTGTAATTTATCAATCGTTTATTGACATATGTGGATACTGTACTTATTACTTCAATATAGCCTTAAGTCACAAACATTATAAACAATGATGGATGGTGGTTACTAAACAATATCAAGTGAATTTGAACTTTATCCCATTATACAAGCAACTGACTACCAGGACTAAGTAGGTAAGTGGATAACGTGATGGATTTTGAAGTGAACGGTATTGAGTTCGCGCCTCAGAATGAACATCAAATCTGAGATTCAGGTACATTCAGCGGACTCGTTCCAGATAGGACAAAAAGTACATCAAACCAAATTCCACTACTAGTCATCATCCATGTTTGTTGATAACTAATTACTACTAAAAAAATCTGCTATTTGTTTTATTAAACCGATAATAAGAAACTGTTACATAATCTATTTATTAAAACTTGTAAAGTTGTTAAATGCTTGTTATTATGAATTGGAAAGGTAAAACAAACAAAACAATCTCTACATTGAATGTAACAAAATCTTATTCATTAAGACTTGTTACAAGACCATAATAGAAAAAAAAGAAGGAAACGACATAAAGGAATCTGTGAAATTCTT